AGAAAGGAAATACCATGAAGCTGCAATCACGAGCTCAGCAGGGATCAGAAAGCAGATATGAGAGGAAAAATCTGCAGAAGTATACACACTATCCCTTCTCCAATTAACTGCAGTGTTTTCTCTGGCTTTCACCTCTCTGCTCTTCCATTGCAGCTTTTCTATCTCAATATCCATTTTTCCCCCATTCAAGTAGCACTTTGCTTACTGATATACACTGTGTACTTATTGCTCAGCTGACAGTAAATTAACAGACAGTGCTCTGCTAACGCAATCAATCCCTATTCCTCTTGCAAGGACAAGTGCCTCACCACCTAAAGGCATGAATTCTCCTAAGGAGTCAATGGTTACCACATAGCACTGCACGTACTGGCACAGAAAGTGCTTGTGAGCAACGCAAGTTCTCTGCAATCCCAAGCAGCTCTTGCTGTGCTGGAGAAAGGAACAGGGTTATAGCTCGTACCTGGTCAGGGACACGTTATTAATGCTAGATGCAGCTGTAAGCAGCCCTCAGCTGTGTTTTCTATTTTTAAAGAATTTTCATACATTTCTAAGATTCTGGAGCAGTTAATCCTGGAAACTGTTTCCATGAAGGACAAGAAAATCATGGGTTCACCAAAGGGAAGTCATGCTTGACCAACTTGATAAACTTCTATGTTGAAATAAGTGGCCTGGTAGACAACAGGAGAGCAGTGGATATTGTCTCCCTGGGCTTCAGTAATGCTTTCGAACTGTGTCTCCGTAAGATCCTCCTCATAAAGAAGCTGATGAAGTATGGGCTGGAGGAGCAGACACAGATTGAAAATTGGCTGAATGGCTGGTGCCAGAGGGTGGTGATCGGTGGCACAAAGTCTAGTTGGAAGCCACTAACTTGTGGTGTACTCCAGGGGTCTATACTGGGTCCAGTCCTGGTCATCTTCACCAATGATCTAGATGGCGGGGCAGTGTCCCCTCAGCAAGTTTGCAGGTGACACCAACCTGGGAGTGGTGGCTGATGCTCCAGTCATGCTGCCACGCAGAGGGATCTTGACAGGCTGGGAGATGTGGGCCAAGAGGAACATGAAGCTCAGCGAGAAGAGCAAAGTCCTGCACCTGAAACAGAACAACCCCAAATACAAATACAGGATTTAATTTAATTCGATTTAGCATGGGATGAATCTGAGTCTCGCACCAAGCGCTGCAAGGACAGAAATTACTCCCTTATTAGGCTTTTGCTTGCGGAGCAAGAAAGATTTAAGAGGTTTCAGAACCTCTTTGAAGCCTCCTGTATTTTTCCTCCTATCTTTATGAAAAGAATGCGGGGTTACAATGCACATTTTCTCCTGCACAGAAAAATAAAATACCCTGACACACTCAAACCTACCACAGCAGCTTGATTTCCGATAAGCATCTCAAAAGGCAAGCGCTCACACAGACCGCAGCACACAAATCACATCTCCTTCTCCTCCTCAGCTGAATTCCCTTCAGAGTCCAAAGTCCAAGGCTTTCTCTTGTTTATTTTAAGAACTCCAAGCAACCCCACAAGAGTTTTGCTTGCACTACTGCAAGTATAGGACCACAGGGTGTAATCCCAACTCTCCAACCAAGCTTCTGCATGACCTTGGGCAAGACACTTTTAGTACTTGCTTCCCTCTTCATATGACTATTCAGACTACAACTTCTTCGACGTAACAACTCTCACCTTTCATGTAATATCAGCAAAATAAGCTTAGATTTTGACAAAGGTTAACGTTAAAATTATTCCCTGTGAGCTCCATCTTGTCAGATTTCTTTAGTCTGACACTGAGTGGGCAAGGGATAATCTGAGAGCCGAAATCCAACATAAGTGCAGAATAGAGCACATAAAAAAAAATACATTATAATCTATGTACATTATGATGGGCTCTGAAATAGCTGTTACCACTCAGAAATGAAACTTGGGAGTTGTAACAACTACAAAAGCATTGTCAGCACTTCCCTGCTGTTAAAATAGCAGCCAGCGTTAGGAATTAGGAAGAAGGCAGCAAACTGTTACGCCACGACGCAAATCCTTGTTCGTAACACTTCAGGGTTGATAATGGACCACGGACACCTCATTCAGCTCTGGGCTGACGCGTCCTCCACGTCCCTCTTAGCTTGCTGGTACCTTCAGGACACTGACAAATCTCTCTTAAGTAGGTATCTAATTTAGATTCCTGGAAGTAGTGAACAGTTCATACTTAGCCTGAGAGGAGATTCAGTTATTCAGCACGTTAGAGAATCAGAGTATTTACGCAGGTACTTAAAATATGGAAATAAAGCTGAACTTGAGGAAAACGGGCTTAAAACCACCAAATGCTTCACCTGAAGCAGTATAACCAATACTGTATTGCCAGTAAGGCAAATATACCCTAAGAGGCCACTATCCTCTTCATTTTCTGTTAAGTCATAACCTTTTAAGGCACTACACAAAAAGAGAGACAAAATTATTACTGCTTCAGACAGAGTTACAAGTACGTACCTTACAGAAAAAAAGATGGGATGCACAGTTTCAAGTATGCAAAGACAAACAAGCAGAATTTTGTTGCTGCAACCAACTCCAAATTAAGTGCTGCTGAGCCTTTTAAGAGGGTGCTGATGAATCACGAGCTGGAGGTGTTAAAAAGCAATTTTGAGAAATTACTCTAAATAAAGCCAGTAACAAGTTTCCAGAGGAGGTAGGAAGTAGAGAAGTAAATTCAGAACCAAATTTTTATGGGCATGCAAGATACAGCCACCCTGAGAAAGTCTGAGTCACCACATCAAGGCAGGCTAAGTACAACGGGCATTTGCAGAAAAATCCTTCCTAACTACGTTATCTGTGTTAAGTAAGGTCTGAGTAAGGACCCCCGTCAGCTCGTCTGATCCTTCCCAGGCTTCCACACCTCCTAGCGTGTTTGCATTTACTGCACTGGCACCTGGGGGGACAAAGGCTCCAACACCACACACTTGGACACTGCTCACCAAAGCCAGGACCCACGGAGATGAAAGCGAGTGCCAGATCCGCTGGCACTGTAGAAGCAGGAACGGTTATGCTGTCTCAGTGACCCCGTGGAACAGAAAAATACTTTACTTATAAAATTAATCTCCTACATAAGACACTAAATGAACAAGGCATCTCCTCTGCATCCCCAGGGGTAAAGTTTACCCAGAAGTGTTCAACCACAATAATGATTTTTAGAACTAAATGGTTCAAAACTTGCCAGTAAAGTAATTCTCAGCAAATGGAAGATCTCCGGCTCATCAAATTGAAAGCTCAAAAGCTTTGCAGAAGTTATTACAGAGAAAACAGCAGAACAGCTGGTTGGAAGACACAGAAAAGAGTCTGTATAGCTTAGGGAATGCTTACAGCTATCACTCTGAACAGCAGCATTTGCTGAAATAGGAGTCATCAATAAATCACATTGCTTAAAGCCAAGTCATATTTTCAGCTAAGGTCAGATCATCCTAAATCAGTTATCAGAGCCTAACTTTCTACAGCTTGCCACTCAAATTACTCGACTCTTACAAGCAAATCCATGCTAATTCCTATTAGGCTAATTTCTTTGTTTCACCACACAGCAGCAAAGGCCTTAAAGTGTTGCTCAAGGTCAAACAGAAAACCAACAGCAGAGCCAGTAACAGAATTTGGATGCTGTTATTGCCCCAAGTCCTGCGGTTTTAGTGTTAGTCAGGCTGGTTCTTCACCTCCACTGCAGTGAGGTTTTCTAATGGTGGATTACAACCATTGCCAACAGCAGCACATGCGGCGTAGAAGTGACTGAGTCTGTGGGAAGGCCTTGTGCAACAGGAGAGGACAGTAAGGAAGCCAACACACGGCAGGTAAAAGACAAGTTTTTTTTAAAAAATTGTTTTCTGTCTTACAAGCAAATGTTTGTACAGAGGTTGGTGGAACACAAGCAGACAAAATAAGCAAAACACAAGACCAAGGGTTTGTCATACAGATCTGCAGCCAAAACTTAATAAAAGGGCAATAACTGGAGATACTCACAGCTTTGATCAACTACAGCTCTATACCCCCTCCCCCCAATACATGTGTGAAACAAGAAAAAGACATCCAGAATCAGCTTTCAAACAGCTAAAACGCCCTCAGAGCTCACTTCCATTTTAGTATCCGTACAATCCTAGGTGCGATGGAGCACAAAAACAACTGCCATCATCGCACAGCCACCTCTTGCCAACTCTCTGTCACATACTGTTCCCCAAGCAAAAAGCAAACATAAAGTCAGGAGCAGAGCGCGATGTATTATTTTACATCAGATTAAAAAAAGAAAAAAGAGCAGTAGCGTTTAGTAGTTTTGTTTTTCAACTCTTCCAATATTCATACGAGAATGTTCTTCCATTACCTCCTACTTTGATAACTCGCACTGGCACTGCAAATAAAAAAAAACAAAAGCCCAACACTGATTTTATTTGACCTCAAATACAGAAACAGAGAGCGAGCAAATGCCAGGTTTGATTCAGTTAAACAAAAAGTGAGTTACCTACGTGTGACATTACAGGAAGTGAGAATCTGATAGTTGGCCAGATACGGGAATGACTTTCCCTCAGTTCTACCTACAGCGTTTCAGTAATGACCCGTGATCAGTTAACTCTAGCAAAGACTGCCTGACAGCACAGAGCTCCTGCTAACAGTCCACTCGCTCCCATTCAAATGGCTAAGCATTTTAAATTCCTTCCTCCTTCTATTTCCCTGGGTTAAACCATGTATTTTCTTTGGATTTGGGAAGACAAGACTCATTCCTTGTTACTTGAGCCTCCACACTGGCATAGAAGGTATTGTTCCGGAGTCAGGAGAGAACAAACTGTCAACTGTCCAACAACCCCAAATCACTCTGGTGTGCAGACGGAGGACTTACAAAAGCAAGGCTGTAACTCTGAGAGATACCATCAGGGAAGAGAAGCATGATAGCACATAGTCGTTTTCCAAAGCTTCCCACTTATTGTGGATGCAGCGCAGGGACTCCATGATGAAGCACCAGAACAAGGAAAGCAGGAATAGACAAAGCATCTCCTCAGCAGTGGCTTTTCAAGAGAACAAAGTCATCTGAAAGCTCAAAAAAAAACAACCAGGACCCCCAGAGCAGTGAGCTGAATTGTGCAATTCAAAACCACACAGACGTGAATCTTACTTTCAAAGGGCTTTATATTACAAAAAAGGTAAGTCACAACGAATGTGAAAAATCCATTCAATGAGGCTTGTTTCCAGTTTGCTAGGAAAGCTACTCTTCTCTTCTTTATTCCCAGCCTACTGCTGAAAACCTGATTGCCGAAACAGTGACACCTCCAGCTAGATTTTTAAAATCAAACTTGCTCTGCCAAATCCAGCACTCTGAACTTGTCCAGGTTGTAGAAACAAGCCTTCACGACTCGGCCTCCAAAGTATCTTCCATTTAGATCAACAACAGCTGCAATTGAAACCAAGAACAGGTCAGCAAGCAGCAATTCAATAAAACAAACATTTCTTCAGTGCAGTGAGACTGTTTAATCTCTACCAAAGTTAACTCTGAGGTTCACAGAAGATAATTTAGTATCCTACCTTTGATGGCAGATTCAACCCGTTCAAACTCCAAAAATATTCTCACAGCTTCATCATCAGGGGCACCAGGAATCTGAAACAAAACCAAAAAAAAAACCCCAAACACAGAATTAGAACAGTGGCAAAAATAGTTTTAAATTGCTGTTCTTCACAAACGTGGTGAAGAGAACACAATAAAAAGGTTCCAAAAGCACAATACCCAGAGATTTTTGCCTAGTTTCTGACATTAAAAGTTTGTGTCTTACAGATATGGAAAATACAGAAGCACAACACAGCAAAGGATTCTGTGAGATCTCCTAGTCTATGCCTCTTTTCTAAGGCAGTAAAACAAGCCAGTCCTGAAGGGACAAGTGCCCAGTTCACTTTCAGAGCAGTCAGAAAGAGAGACAGATCATCTCTTACCTCAAAGATGACACATTTCCCAACCTTGCCATATTTCTCGCATTCTTCCTTAGTTTCAACTTCTAGATCTTCATCCACCTCCCCAGCACCTACCATGTTCTGAAAGTTAAAAGAATAAACCCAACTCACTGGATGTGATGATTATGTAGACAAATCACAGCACGCAGCTGCAACCATGAATACTTGAAAGCTTCTGTTTACCAGTCAGGAGCCACAGGAGGAGATGGCTCCCTGGTACAAAGACAAGGTAACTTTATAATCTAAAGCAGCGCTGATTTACAGTCACACCTTGTATCTCAGGAAGCCGCATTTTCTCCACAACACAAAGCACTGTATAGGCACAAGTCAGAACTGTTCGAACTGTACAGTCCTTGTAATAGGAGCAGAGGTTTAAGCATTTCAAATAGTCCTAGATGCTGCAAATACCAAGACACATTCCCTTACTCTCAACTTACCCTTAGCAAGACCACTTTAGTTGGGCATTTCAGTATCTCAGTCAATGGGTTAGAATCCGCTTTCTTGCCGGTTTCTGATATGAAAATAGAACAAGGAATCATGGAATAATTTAAGACGAAAGCTAATTCAAACCTTATCTGGGTGCTTTTCTCAGAATCTTAATGTTATCAAACAATGGAATAAACCCCACAGAATGTAGCTACATATACATCATATACATAACACCGTACCGGTGAGGAACAGTCATTCAGAACTTGTAGCTATTTGGAAGGACAAGACGCAGAAAAATCACTGCTACAAAATGTGAATTAAGCTAGAACACTGACAACATACTATTTCTTTGAGGGAAATCATTCATAAGTTCAGAATTGCATCAGATTCTCTAAGAACTAAAAATCAGAACTGACTTCCAACACTTCTGCTTAGGCAGAGGTGCGGTTCTACTAAGCCTAAATGTTTTCTCTAGATCACAGAATCACTGACCGTTAGGGATTGGAAGGGACCTCAAAAGCTCATCCAGTCCAATCCCCCTGCTGGAGCAGGAACACCCAGATGAGGTTGCACAGGAAGGCGTCCAGGCGGGTTTTGAATGTCTGCAGAGAAGGAGACTCCACAACCTCTCTGGGCAGCCTGGGCCAGGGCTCTGTCACCCTCACTGAGAAGAAGTTTCTTCTCCAATTGAAGTGGAACCTCCTGTGTTCCAGCTTGTGCCCATTACCCCTTGTCCTATCATTGTTTGTCACCGAGAAGAGCCTGGCTCCATCCTCGTGACACTCACCCTTTAAATCTTTAGAAACATGAATGAAGTCTCCCCTCAGTCTCCTCTTCTGCAAACTAAAGAGCCCCAGCTCCCTCAGCCACTCCTCAGAAGGGAGATGCTCCACTCCCTTGATCATCTTTGTAGCCCTACGCTGGACTCTCTCCAGCAGTTCCTGTCCTTCTTGAACTGAGGGGCCCAGAACTGGACCCAATATTCCAGATGCGGTCTCAGATCAGACAACAGCAGGGAAATAGAGCAGTATCTAAACCACGTGATAGCACCTGAACTATTCTTTTTCCCTGACCATTTCCCACAAACTTATTGGTGTAAGACAAAATTACCTTTCTCTGTAGATTCACCAACAATGATCTTGCCACCCCTCTTGCTCGTTTTCTCCACTGACAGTGCTGTGCTCAGCCCCTGTTCATGCTTTCCCAGACCCTGGCCCTCTCTGAAACCATACTTCTGCATGATTTTGTGAGCTACTGTCCCTCTGCAAAGAGAAAAACCATCAGTTAGTAAAGGTTTCTTACACAAAACACTAACATTGCGTATCTCCTGAGTGCTCAAATGTTCTACCCCCAAAAATCGCATTAGAGACTGCAAACATAAGAGCTTCTACATGACTATACAACCTAGCAACTTCACAGCATCCTGTGACATTAAAAGTGTTAATTACCCTGAATTACAGATAGAAGAGCTGTCAGAGAAGTTCGCACTTGTTCAAATACAACCTAACTTCCATTAGCAGTGCAAGTCAGCACTGTACATGCTACAGAATGGTTTTTGGTTGGAAAGGACCCTTAAAGGTCAGCTAGGGCAGCCCATCTGCCATGGGCACGGACATCGTTCACTGGATCAGGCTGCTGACAGTAAAACACAAAACAGAGTAGATCAAGGTCTATTTAGTCCAGTTTCTTGTCAGTGGCTGGTATCAAAAGCTTAAGAGAAAAGGCAGATGTTGAATGATCTGCTTCACACAGATCACACTGCACTATGTAATAGTTCAAATTTGGCGTAAGCTCCAGAGTACATGGCATTGCTACCCTTTCCTATAACAAATCTGGATATACTCAGTATTAATTTAAACAAGTCTCATCTTTCAGAATTTTCAAGAATGTATTGAGGCAACAAAGTCCCCAACCTATTTAAAGGTACCTTTTTTGTAAGTACCTTACAAAAAGCACCTCCAATGACAAGTTTTGAAACTACTACGAAATAGAATAGATAGAATCAAAACATACCTACATGTGTTGACATTTCTTTGGAGATGATAGCTAGATAAGCCGAGACACAAAAGGCATGCCATGGGACAGCAGTTTTAACCACAGTAAACTTTCTATGCTCAGTCATTCCCATTTTACCAACAGGCATATAAGATTACACAGTGAATGCAGGATCAGTGACTACAAGGCTTTTTTTCTAAGCATACTTTATGAACCATACAAAGACACATTAAAAAGGCCAAGAAGTCTGGCTATGTAACGCTAAAAGGTTAAAACGCCAAGTCACAGAATAAACAACAGCCAATTGTGTGGTCAAAGTAAGGCAGGCCAGGTCAAACTTTTAGCACTTCCTTCAGTGAAGTGAAAGTCCCAGAGTATTGCTAACTAGAGGTGGTAACAATGCATAAACTGGTCCAGCAGTACTGCGTTTAGTTATCCTTTTCCTGGACAATGTTAAAAAAGAAAAAAAAAGCATTTCGATAAAAAAACCCGCATGAAAAATGTTATCCAAACTGGAAATGTGGTGTAATAATGCAATAAACTACACTTTTATGCCTGTGTTAGTTTTGTAATTGTGTATAGGTTTGTTTTTCTACGCTGAGGTCGCGTTTCTGCAATACTTCATGTGATGGTTAAGAGGATCATAACCACTACACTTTCCAGATGAGATCTCTAAGCTTTTTTAAACTATAAATTCAACTTCATTTTGTCACCACAGTAGAAACACAAGCATCACACACAATGGTAACCCAATGCAGAAAAGTAAATGGATGCATTTGCAGCCACATCTGCTACATTCTTCCAAATATGCTTTGAATTTTTGAACAAACAAACAAAGCAGAGCTGAAATAATCTGCCCACTGGTACGTAGCAAATTGAAGACAAAGCTGGAAAAGAAACCTAGAGGAACTACCACGCCATCTGTGTTTTCCTGTACACTACATTAACTTGGCTTGTACAAGCCATAAACACTTTATACTGGAATGTGGCTTCAGAACTTGCTTAAAAGCACAGCCTTGAATGTAACCAGCTAAAATGCATTTCTCTCGATCGAGTAAATCCACTGATTTTTCTATATCCTGCCAGTTAGGAGTATGTGCACTCAGGTTAACCACATACATGCAATGGGTTGTGTTCCTGTCTACTGACAAACTATTTTAGCTTTTGGTTTCCACCACCTTCTAATGCCTTTTTCCACAAAATGTGTGTAAGTCAATCACTTACCCCATGTTAGCAAGGAACGAGTTGCTAGGTCCCGTGGGGGAACGAGGTCTTTCTGGCTCATCATACACTGGAGGAGGAATAGCTGCTTTGGAAGATGGTGCCCGAGGTCTTGACTCCTCTTCAAATGGAAACGATGCTACAGCTGAAGAAAACAGAAACAATTGCTTTGTCAATAAAATACTTTGCATGAACTACGTACTTGTTACGAACAGAGTACTATGCCTTCGATCCAACTCATTTACAGACAGCTCTTCATCTGCAAGTTGTACATTTTTCTCTGCTGTAATACTAACAAACTACGAAAAAAACCAGCTCTTCATCTGCAAGTCGTACATTTTTTTCTGCTGTAATACTAACAAACTACGAAAAAAAAACTTTCCACATAAATCCAAATAAGAACAAGATTTCCTCTGCACATGCTGCTTTAACATCCCCTCATCTCTCTCTCTGAAATAAAATATGAGCTGTTATTCTGGATTTTCCTCATAGGATATCTAACAAGTTTGTATCCGGAGGTTTATAATGGATTTATTAAACTCTTATCAAACGGAGAAAAGAAACATTAAGAAGCCACCTGCACAACAATCCAGACAGAGGACAAGCAAACTTAAAAGCCCCGTTCATCAGAAACAGAATTATGACACAAATGGATCAACGCACACAGCTTGGGGCCTGAGGACTGTAAAGAAAAGTACACTGTATATTTACAAAACACAGAAATCAGTCCATTAAAAAGAATGAATGCAACTCAAAGCAAAAGTATAAAATCTTAAAAGAGATCTCACTGACACTGAACTGAAACTTTCCTGGGAGATGTAAAAAATTATATATACACATACATATATATATATAAAAAAATATCATACTGATTAGATTATTAAACTACTTTCCACTGGCAAGTCAAATGGCAAAATATTAAATATGCAGAACACTTGGGGACTTTTAGACTGACTTAATTTTAGATTACCTTCTTGTGAACTAGTGCTTGTATCTTACTAAATAAAATGTCAGACATGAAGTTTGAGGGAAAAAAAAGTCCCTATTTAAGTAGCAGATGGGCTGGACTAAGGGACTTCTGCTACAGCAATATTTTCTCAGGTTTTTCCAGCCTTGATTTGAGCATCAAGTAACAAGTCGTACAAAGGTTTCCTTGTGAGATCATGTCACATTTTGAAAGCTCTCCCACTCAGGATATTTCTACCATTTCCAGCCTGTATTTATGTTTCCTTGACACTGCTCAATTGCTCTTAATTATTTACTCCAAACAATCTCTTTCTGTTTTTAATGTTTACACACTTCAAATGCTTTCACTATTATATCATTTACTTACTCTGCCAAGCTTCTTTATTTTAAATCTGAATCTTATCAATAAAACCAGAACTCCCAAAGGAAAGTTTGCGTGAATAAGGTTATTTTTTATTCTGGTTAATTTTTAAAGTCATACACAACATGCTGGTCATTGTTTTAATTTAAAAATGTAAGGCAACTGGACATGCAAAAAAAAAATGGAACGGTTTTGTTCTCACAGCAAGGTTATGCCATCTAGTGCACAACTGCAATATCCCAGCTGTCTTCACTGAGGGAAACCCTACCCCACGCACATCTCTTTAGCAAATACTGTACCCCTCAAAAATTCACAAATTCTGTCTGTAATGCACAGCCCTTTCAGAAAAGATACTCGTAAAGTACCTCCCAAAGAAAAGGGTGATGGAAAAATTCCCTGTCCATGCTGTAGAGGTTTCTAATCACTCAGAGAAACCTGTCTACAACATTTCTTCTTTCATAACAGAAATGAGTAACTGAACATGGTTGGAACAAATCAGCCTGCCAAACCACTTCTCCAGCAATACAGAAATAATCAGAAATAATTCAGAACAGAGATGTGAAGCACAGCAGTATCACAGGTTCTTCACAGGTTCCTCACAGCTTCCCCTATATCAGCAAAAAAATAGCACAAGTTCTGCCACAAAGAATCATATGGGAAGAGCAGCAGGAGGACTTAACTGAATAGAAGGTTGAGTGAGAAATAAACACCACTGCTAGCTTTTAGAGAAGAGGATTTTGGTGTACTTACGTTCTTTGTCCTTCTCCACAAGAGAAGTGGGTGGTGCAATGGCAGCTCCTCCCATACCTATGAGCAAAACGGAAGAAAACACATTGATGATTAGGTTTTGCTGCTCGGAACAGCTTCACTGAATCTTAACACAGCTGCTGGCTCCTTACCAGCCAATTCTTAACAAACATCTCTATCAACAGAACAGTAGCAAGAGAGCACTCTGAGGAATTTCAATAGTGGTAAACTAGAAATGAATGAAAAGCCCATCAAGGGAGACACCATCCAACTGTAATGATTGTGTCTATCATAAACGTATTTCACAGGATTTCAAAAGTAAAGACTACAGAGACAAACTTTCACTTTAAAACTGCTTAAACTAAATGAAAAAGACACTGTTCAAGATTAATTACACTCTCAAAACAGTAAAGTACAAAGCTCCTTCCATATTTTAATGAGCAATATTCTAATGTGGTCTCAAACTACCAAGGGAGAGCAAATATTTTAAATGTCCCATCACAAATTTTCTTTTTTAAAATAACAACAGACTTGAATCGTTTACTTTAACTTTGTTGCTGAAAGAGAATAAAGTTGAATTTTGTTTATGTAAAAAACATCTCAACCACATCTTCTAACTGCTTCTAAGGGCGTTCAATAACAAATGCAGCAATGGTAAATTTTAATAGGGAATGTTCAACAGTGATTCTCATAGTCTGATTTTATCTCACGCCTCACTCCTTTCCTGGAACCTACACCATGTAGAAACTTAAAATAGTTATCTACAAACTAACGTAAAGAGAGCTCTTTCAACAAATAATTGAGCTGCCATCTGCCTCTCATTTTCTGCATTACAACAGTTAAGGGGAAATAAAATGCTAGGTTCATTCTAAAGGCTAAAAACTAACAGTACACTTCTCAGCTAAGAGCAGAGAAATACAGAGTCCAGGAAACAAACAGGATTGTGAATCTCTATTCCCACCCCCACGCCCTCTTTACTCCTCTTTCCCCATCAAACACTCCCTTACTTCTTTTTCGTCTCTCCCTTTCATAATCTTCATCTTCATCAGAATCTGGATCTGGTCTTCTTGAAAACCCACTGGCTTCATGTCTGTCTTTACGCCTTCTAGGAGACACAGTAAGTCAGCATAAGAAACTATCAAAGTTAAATATTTGCTTTAATTTGTGACGCCACCTTTGCAGCGTGAATTATGCTGCTAATTGGTATTTTACAATGTTTTCCCATGAAGGTGTAAGTAAACACCTTTACTTTTTGTTTCTTTGTTTTTATCCTCAAGGAGTAATTTTTGTAAAATATAAGATGGATCCAAAGCAAGATCACTTTCCAACTGCAAGTTAGCCAACGAGAATGTAAGGAAGTCGTGCTTGACCAATCTCATAGCCT